ATGACAGCTGGGATAGGCTCCAGCGCCCCCGCGACCCTGAAAAGGATAAGCGGAAGTGAATGGATGGATGGATGGACGGGTGGGTTTTCCAGCTTTGTGTTCTTGTTGTTTGCTTTTGTTTTGTGCATGTTTATTTTATTTGACAACGGGAAAAAATCAAAATGTCAAAAATCTGTTTTTCATAATATAAATATCATCAAATAACTTTAGAAAAACTTCCACTTGATTCTTTACATGTAATGTTGTAAAAATATATATTTTATTGTTTAATTAATCTGAAAATGTTAGTCTGCCAAATGTGCAGCAATTTAATGTATTTATTCTCTTTAGCTGATAGTTTGTGGGGCCCAGGTAGACTGTATAATTGCATCTCTACCAGTTTCTCTGCACTCCAGCCTCCTCTGTGCCATGTGAAGGGATTTTCCTTAATGCAGAATAAATTATCTCCATGAAAAGTAACAGTTTCGGCCATCGCACAGTGGAACGAATTTTCTTCTTAAATAAAAATGGAAAAGGGCTACCTTACATGCATCATGTTTTTAATTTGCAAGTTCATAAGCATTTTCCCTTTCACAATCAATTCTACCTCCAGGTCAGAAATATGTATAGGAAAGTTTCCCTAATATAATATTATTGATAAATACACCCATCTTGCGATTAATTTCATAAGTGCATGGAGGCAAGACCTCACAGCAGAAGCATACTCCATAATGTGTTGTACATTATTATATGTATATATTATATGTAACGTGGTATTTTTCAATTATTGTATTTACCAACATCAAGAAGTGAAAAGCAAAGAAAGACCACGCCATGGTGGATGTTTAAACAAGGAAAATTTGCTGGTCATAATTATTTATTAAACAAATAAACCACATTTTTTAACCCCCCAAAATACACGTTCAAAGCAACACAACGGCGGCCCAATATCATACAGAACTCCACTCTGTAGAGTGAGCAGTCATAATGAAGCAGTTGGTTTTATTTTGTGGATTCAAGCTGCTCTTCATATTTCTGGCCACCAGATGTCACCAGAGAGGACTGTGTTAAAAAGCTTCGAGTAATGAACCGTTTTTCAATACAAGCTTCAGTGCTTCAGAAAGCTTCATTTGGCCATCACTACTACTAACCATAAGGTCATTTGAATTTTCTTCTGTTCACAGGCAAATGTCTGGTAAATTGTGTTTCTTCACGTTGCTTTGGTTATACTTACCATGGTGTCCATGTTGTTTATTCAGGTCCTATATTTAAGACAGGTATATGAGAAGGGCCGCCCAGTACTTCCTGTTTATATAGGGTCATGAGGTCAATGATTGCATCATTGGGTGTAACCAAATGGAGGGTTTTTCATTTTGTATAGTATTGTTTATTTTCTTTAAAGTAGCCTTTTGAGTTATATTGTATGTGTTTTACTTTACAAACCATTTAGCTGAGTAAGTGAGTTTGTCCATTTCATGCATAATCTTATTCCTGTTCTTTGTTTAGAATTGTATTGTTTGGTCTGACCTATTTGTTTCAATGGTAGAGTCTTCAATCAACCTATTTGTTTCAATGGTAGAGTCTTCAATCATCTGCTAATGTTATTTGCTTATCACCTTACTTGCTGCTTAAGTTATGCTACACTACACCCACCCCCAGTTTAAATCTGAGATAGAGTATATAGATGTATGATGGTTCCAACAAAACAGAATAAATGTGTGGGAAGACCCAAGAAGGTAGGTATGGTAGTTTGAAATCTAGTAATGCTGGAACCTTATGCAGGAAAAGCAGGAGCAGCATTTACAGGCTATTTAGCACCAAGAATTTCTATTAAACCAGTAAAAATATTTCCACTATGATCTAACAACAAACTAAAGTGATTTCCTTGTCTCCTTTTCAGGCTGTGGTTGAGCGTCATAGCTGAATACACGGAGTAACCTGTAACGTTTAAACATATGCATTTTAAAGCTTAAGAGATCTAATGTGGAGCTTTAAAATTAGAAATGAACAACAGTAGGTGTGTGGAGACGCCACCAAGCAGCTCGACCTTCAGCCACAATACACTGTGAGACAAACTGCACAGAAACAGTTTGTGTTTGGTTACGGAGACCCGCAGTTGTTCCGATGTTGTCGCAAAAAGAAAAAAGAAGTTCCACTTTTAGGCCCTGACTTTACCACACATCATCTCTTTTTATATGGCATCCGCTAGTGATTAATACAGGAACAGGATTTCCTTTTTATGTGTTTCTGTTTAAGCTAAAATCGGTTTAGTGTGACACGAAAAAGGTCCCCTCGAATGTTTTAAAGCAAAAGTAATGAGTCTGTTTTGTTATGTAAATGTAAGAAGTAGAAATAATAGATATATATTCTTTTTAAATGTAGAGAGTGAAAGTAAAAAATTACTCATTAAAAAACTACTCAATAAGAGTAGACATACCTCAATTGAAAATTGTACTTAAGCACAGTCACAAAGTATTTGTACTTCCACCTCTGTAAACATCTGCGCACACAGTAATGAGGCCATGGCAGATACTGAGGAAATACAGAAGAAAAATCTTACAAAGAATATATTTTTAATTTTAGCGCATGCATGTGTGCATGTCTGTATCTGCTCTCACAGTGCATCCTGCAGGCCGATGGTGACCCTCACCTGTAAGCAAAGACATGTCATTGATCAACAGTTCAACTCAAACTGTGAGCATTTATCTTCTATTTAAACTCTTTTGTTCCAGCAGTCAGGGCAGGCTCGACCTGACTGCCAGGAATGCAACTCACACCTCACTGACGGCTGAAAAACTACAAACCAACCGAAAAATGTAATTAGCTACAATCACTGCAATGGAAACAAAGAAAACTCTGCACTGTAGTTTGCTCAAAACATATGTCATGTTTTAAAATGTACACGGGTGAAGAAATTTTCTATTTTTGTCACAAGGTGGCACCATGTTACAATTCTGAAATTATTTCTTCCATTGTTGACTCATTAGACTTTGGCTGTATCCCAATTCAGGGTCTGCACCCTTGAAGGCAGGGGGTTGAAAATGATGTGCCGAGGTAATAATAAAATGCAAAGATTGGTGACAGTGTTTATAAGGCAGCAGATAAAAAAAATTAAAAAAAACTGTGGGAAATAAACTAGGCTCTGCCAGTGAATCAGTCTTTGCGTCTCTTCCATCTCCTCATCTCATCTATCACTCTCCTGTCCGTCTGTCCGAAAAAGGCACAATTTGCTGTTGCCTTAATTTAGTATTTAACTATCCACACTTGAAAACTCTTGCACCTGACCCATAATAAAGCAATGATAAAAATACGTTATTAAAATAAAACATTACAATTGTGTTTATTATTGTTTTTATACTTGAATACCTCTGCAATGCAACAACTGGTATGTGTGTTATTGTTGCCTGTGGTCTTTTTAATCCAGCTGGTGAGGGATCCGCTGCCTTTAGCAGCCTCACACAGCTCCTTTTGTCACTGTATCCTCTTCTTGTCCTTACAGACCAGCACTACTTGTGCAGTTAATAAAAGGACAGGTAATGTTTTGTCACACTGTTAAGAAAGCTAATTGACAGGTGTGCAAATATGCATTGTGGCATAAAGAAGGTGATGGAGTGCAATGGCGTAGTTCACTTTAGTCCAGCTCAGTATGTAAGGGTCTGATAACGGGAAGGGATGTTTCTTCAGACAGTGAGGCTGAATCTGAATATATATAATATAATTTGGGAAAATTTTTAATAACAGTCAGTCTATGACTTAAGCAGCGTGGTTTTCAAAAGCAGGCCTCACAGCTGCTGATAATCACACCTAAACATCATGAAAATAGTGATGCAACAAAAAATGGTTCTTTGTGCCAAGATAATTGCATCTCATACACAACAAAAACTACACCATCACAATAAGAACAACAATGAATTCCCTCTCCAATATGCATGCAGTAATAAATAGCTTGACCACAGCACTTTTTGTGTTGCAGACTTTATTTTATCTGAAAATTCCACGACAAAGGATTGTGCAAGTTACCTCAGTTTCTAAATCAGATGGACTTCTAGGCTTGACAAACATCAGGATGACGTTGACAACTCCATTAGCCAGCATTCGCATGAAGGCAGGACCCAAAAGCAGACTGAATAAACTGAATGAAACTATACACACACAATACTGTATTTATCACAGAAGTGATCGGGCAGAATCCAGAGAAATGGGAAAATCCAGAGACCCTGAGAGTATGAGGAAGAAAAGCCCATAAAAACAAAAAATCACGAGCGGCCCACTGGGCAAATGCCCGATGGCCAGCTCAGCCCTGCATCACAATATGAACCACATCAAATTACAACGAAAAAAATATTTTAACTGCTGGAAGCAAATATTAATCTTTTTTATACATAAACCATTTCGGTAACACTTACACACACTCGGCTACTAAATGAATGTGTTGTCACACCATAACTATTTCGTTGTTGTGAAAGTGTTGCCAGCATTAACTAATCTAACGGTCATCTACCAATCTAATTCAAGGGTCATGTCTGTGTTCTCCCACAGAAAATGATCCTACACAAACAACATGCTGCTTCAGACACTGATCCTCCCGGTGGAAGTGCACCTTCTTTTTCCTCCTTTTTAAGATTTTTAATGTTAATTTAAATTCAAAATCAACGGCTAAAAAAATATATGAACACCAGATAATTAAAAAAGTGAATGGTTCAGTCTCACGTGTGCAGTAGTGAGACATTGAACTTAACTAAAACTGTGCAGAGCCAAAGCGATTTGCTTAGTTGGAAATACATTTACTGCTCATTTAGAACAAATGACTGTCTCAGCAAACGAGGACACAATCACACAGCCCACTGTCTTTGTTAGATGCGCGCCTGTTTCAGCACAGTTCACAAACTCCCTCCAACACAACGTCCGGCCCACTGTGCGGCTCCACCAATGAGATCCGAGGGCCCGCGCAGTGGTATTAGCATACAGCCTATATAAAAAGCGCTGCTCTCAGCCAAGGGAGCTCATTCGTTGCTGTAGAGTATTGAAGAGAGAAAATGCCTGAACCCGCCAAGTCGGCGCCCAAGAAGGGCTCCAAGAAAGCCGTGACCAAGACCGCCGGCAAGGGCGGCAAGAAGAAGAGAAAGACCAGGAAGGAGAGCTACGCCATCTACGTGTACAAGGTGCTGAAGCAGGTCCACCCCGACACCGGGATCTCCTCAAAGGCCATGAGCATCATGAACTCGTTTGTCAACGACATCTTCGAGCGCATCGCAGCCGAGGCATCTCGCCTGGCCCATTACAACAAGCGCTCCACCATCACTTCCAGGGAGATCCAGACCGCAGTGCGCCTCCTACTCCCCGGTGAGCTGGCCAAGCACGCAGTGTCTGAGGGCACCAAGGCTGTGACAAAGTACACGAGCTCCAAGTAAACTGGCATCAGACGCCAACACAACGGCTCTTTTCAGAGCCACACACTTTAAACTGACGAGCATAATTCCCTGTCACACTCGCTAGTTAATATGTCGCCAAATGCTTGAATCGCGATATGGACCTTTGTGTCACTGGGTGGTATTAATCTGTTGCATTGACCGTGACGACTAAAATGTTTTGCAGTTTTCAGATTGTGTAAAGACAAACTAGCTACAAACAGAATTAATGCGACTTTGTATTTGACACTTGTGTTACAGTTCCAAGCACACTCTCTATTGTTCCTGATATGCAAAATTGAGTAATGACAGTGGCAGAGAAAAGGACATTAAAGAAACTGATGGACAATGCCATGCCAGGCATCCTCTGCACCCGGCCATAAACAACCAGGAGAGTCTGTTCAGTGACAGGTTGCTTCTCCCCAAGACAAGAACCAACTTAAAAACTCCTTTGTCCCACATGCCATCAGACTGTTTAACTCCTCTCTGGTGGCGAGAGGGAGGGGAGACAGGATGACAAAGGAGGGAACAACTAAGCTGTAGTGCCTCTGCACCTCACTGTGCAATACCTTGTGCAATACTTAATAGTCAACAGTGCAATAGACTCAATACTTGAAATGTGCAATTCACTTGTATTTTTATTTTTTATTCCTATTTATTCTATTTATCCCCTTTGTATATTTGTTTCTGTATTTATTTGTGTGTGTGTGTATATGTATATATATATATATGTGTGTGTGTGTATATGTATATATATATGTGTGTGTATGTGTGTGTGTGTGTGTGTGTATGTATGTGTGTATGTATATATATGTGTATGTATATATGTGTATGTGTGTGTATATATAAACAATTCTGTAACTGTAACTTCGGTCGTTGCTGTGCTTTTTTTGGAAATCGAATTTCCCAGAGGAACCCACCCGAGAGATTAATAAAGTTCTATCTTATCTTATCTTAATTACACTGAAATGCTGTGGCACAGAAAACTTGTTAACATTGATGTTGCAGCTTTCTATTGCACGGTCTATCGTTTTAATCGTCTGTATTTGTTTTGTTGCAGTTTCTCCATACGTGCAATTTTTGTGGTCCTGTTTCAGTTACATGCAGCATCATGCTCTCGCTTCACTGTGTACTGTACTGCACGTGGTGGAAATGACAAACCCACCTGACTTGATGATGTGCACTTTAACTTTATAAACACACAACTAGACTATGATACATAAAGGGTGGTTTGGACTATTGGAACGCCAAAATTGGCTAATTTGGTGCCAAAATGTATACTAAAAAAGGCATGAATTAGTATCATTACTTAATACACTTTTTGTGGTGTGTGGGGTTTTGTTGGATGGATGGATGACATCTTTAGCATTTGCCTGTACTTCCTATGCCACAGGCAGGCTCTGCTGTGTCCTTCAAGCTTTCCTAGATATGACCGAAGAGGAATTTCCATCAAAGCAATCTTCAATCTAACTGCTGTTAAGCATGTTACTTGTCTTGGACAGAAAATTGTGGTTACACATTTTTCAGTAGGTGGAAGAATCACAGAATCCTCCAGAAAGAAGAGCAGAGATATACTGGGCATAACTAAAGGCACTAGATTAAACTGAGGTCGCTATCCAGGACATGAGATGAGCTTTATTAGTCCCACAGCTGGGAAATTCACCAACATGGGCAGAGCAGGATAAAATAAACAATTACAACAATATTACTATGAATAAAATGATTAAATATGTTTGACTAGTAGAGTCAACAAGACGAGGTTTAACTGGGAGATAAGATGGATGTTTTTAGCAGGTATTGAGTATTACACATTGAGATACGCAGTGATCAGTTTGTGGATGTGTGTAGTCACGTGTTCATTCACTGCTGTTGTTTATTGTAGAGTCAGTAACTGTAGAAGGAAACTGAGTCAATGCAGACTAAGAGATCAGAGCCAAAGTGTGGAAGCGAGCTGCTGTAAGGTCACTAATGAAGCTTCTGATGTACAACAATGTGAGTGAAACTGTGCTTTGGTTAGAAGCGAGCAGCTGTCACACAAGTCTCGTTGTTCCGTGGGCCTGCAGCAGCATCGGTGTGTTTGCTGGGAGCTCGCAGCGTCACTTTGTCCCAAAGCTGCGCTCACCAGATGCTGCTTTTAACTCTGAGTGTGTGAACAAACATGTGTATCAGCTAGAAAAGGCTTTTTACGGAGCTCTGCTGCGGCTCCACCGGTTTTAGCAGAGAGAAGAGTCCAAGAAGCCGCCGAGCAGCGCTGAGCTCCGCACCGAGTCACTGAGCTTTGGGAGCTCCACGAACCGAGAGCAGAGAGCACGAGAGTCCGACACGAGGCCTGTACGAGGAGACACAAGCCCGCTGTGGACGGCTCCACTGTCGACCTGCAGTGCTGCTCACACACTCACTTTAAGCTCTTTGATCCCGAGACACGAAACACAAAATGAAGCATTGCGAGGCACGCGCGAGAGCTGCGCGCGCTGCCTTCACTCTCAACGGTTCTCATGATGCGTTTAAGTGCAGCGTGGCGCTTCCGACTTGCCATCACTGTACCGTGAATCTCGATCAGACGCGAAAGAGGAAAATGTCCGAGGAAGCTCCCGCACCTGCTGTCGTCCCGGCCAAGGCGGCCAAGAAGAAGAAGACGACGGCTTCTAAGCCCAAGAAGGTCGGCCCCAGCGTGGGCGAGCTGATTGTGAAAGCCGTGGCCGCTTCCAAGGAGCGCAGCGGCGTGTCCGCAGCCGCGCTCAAGAAGGCTCTGGCTGCCGGAGGCTACGATGTGGACAAGAACAAGGCCCGCGTCAAGACCGCCATCAAGAGCCTGGTAGCAAAGGGCACTCTGGTGCAGACCAAGGGCACCAGGGCCTCCGGATCCTTCAAGATGAACAAGAAGGTTACTGAGAGCAAAGCTAAGACGCCCGCGAAGAAAGCCGCTCCTAAAGCCAAGAAGCCCGCCGCGGCCAAAGCCAAGAAACCGGCAGCAGCAGCTGCCAAGAAGTCGCCCAAGAAGGCAGCAGCTAAGAAGCCCGCAGCCGCTAAGAAGTCGCCCAAGAAGGCCAAGAAGCCCGCAGCGGCGGCCAAGAAAGCGCCCAAAAGCCCCAAGAAGGCGGCAAAGAGCCCCAAGAAGGTGCTCAAGAAGGCTCCCGCACCAAAGAAATCCCCCGCCAAGAAGGCCGCCAAGCCCAAAGTCAAGAAGGTGGCCACAGCAGCCAAGAAGAAGTGAGCTGACACCGCTCTCACACTCAACAACGGCTCTTCTCAGAGCCACCACAGCAACACACAAGAGCTCCTTCCTCTCACTCACTCACTCACCACTCTGTCATTCACAATAACGTCCATGTTATTAAAACACTTTTTTCCCCCTCATTTGTCCTCATTACAATTACAACTTGGATTACCATCATGGTGCACATTAGTGCTGTCTAACCAAGTCTACAACTATAAGAATACAAATATTAACAACTCAACATTTACAATCACACCTTCATAGTACAGACACTTGCCATTTTTCTATGAGACACTATCATGCAAGAAATACACCTTTAAAAGTTTCACCTACATTTTTAGAGTATTTTATTAAAAAAACATCAATTGTGACTGAAAATATTACATTTATAGATGCATGTTATTATATATATAGATCTATCTATCTATCTATATATATATATATATATATATGAGATATGTGTCACTTCTACTTTTGTTTTTTGAAAGCCTACACTGGCTGTTGTACTGTATATTTTAATGATAACTAATAATATAATATTATCCAGGCAAAATGCTCTAATCTACAACCTTACCTCGCTAAATCTAGGCCAGTTGAACTGACATTCGGTCATTTCAAGGACACATAATTCCAAGCTGAACTCATACAGCTATTTATTTTACCATGTATTAATTTCATTACTCATTTTATAACCATTTTGATTCATGTACATTTGAACTAATGGAATTCTGTAGCATTAAGGGTGCAGGAAAATCCGTTATTTTAAAATATAGCCTTGAGGTTTACTTCTTGACCTCACCCATTCTTTGGATATCCCAGCTGAAGAAGAGTCCGGGGCTGCCCTGTGTCCCCCTCCACAGCAGTTTTCCACTAATTCTATTGTTCAGTCTGGGGGGGCTGTCCTCTAACCAGACTAGTAACTGTGGCTTCTTGTTCTTGGCTGAGGCAGCTTTCACTCACTTTATAACAGGCAGACCCCCACTGTCAATGCATTTTTCATACTATACAGTTACACACCAAAGTTTATCGCTGAACCAACTGATTTGGCACGTCAGAGGTGAGCAACTTAATGTCATTCTTGGGAGCTTTAAGGTCGCATGAAATGCTTTGAGAACACAAATCCACTATTGTCCTTAAAACAGGGGTTGACAAAGACATTCTAACAAAAGCCACACTTAGGAATCATTTCCTGTTCTTCTGATCACCAGCTGCCCCCTATTATCCAAGCAAACTCTATTGTAATAGTTTTATTCTACTCACAATAGACACAAAAACCTAAGCGTAGATGTAAGTGACTTTGCAAAATGTCCCAAATTCAGCAGCAGTGCTGAACACGTTGCAAACAGCTGCACATTTTCCTCCCTCTGTAGCAAAGAAGTCCACCTGTCCCTCTCCACCTCACGTTGTTATATTTTCCTATTGTGTTTAACAAGGTTTGAACTGCGTGTTGTCTGTTTCCATGAGCTTAGAAACTGTTTTAATTATAAAGCGAACCATGATGAGTGTCCACAGTCAGTTATGACGCTAATAATTAGTGACATCCAATTTACTCTTTGTAGCTCTCTTCACGACAACACAGACACAGATTGGTTCTTTGAAACGGGCGTTTATTACTTGGGCCTTCTCTCCTCAGCTTCACCATCACCAGTACGCCGATACGCCGTGAGAACTGGTCACGAGCGAACAGTACAAACCAATTAGCAACTTTACAGTACACATATTAAGTCCAAACACAAATAAAAAAAAACATTTCTCAAATGACAAATACCTCGTTGGCTGCTTGTCCAGAAAAGAGGTCCTTAAGTCCTTGTATTGCCCTTTCTTTTAGTAAACCTTTAGCTTAAATCGCTTCATGAGAGACATCTGCTCCCTCGCAGTCCATGAAAGGTCTCGTGTGCTCTCGTTAAGGGTATTCTCACGAGACACTAGCTCTCACCTTACACATGTACATTTCAAATAAAGACATTTCAACGCAAACTATATATACATGAAATTATGTAACTTATTATAAATCAGTCAACTACATCATGAAATCCACACAGAACATTTTAACAGCATTTACTCTCTTAATTAGTAAGATGAGCAATGAGGTGAATATGACCCCACACCACAACGCAGGAGACAGAGCTTTTTGCTTTAGCTTTATATCAAGACCTAAAGTAAGTTTCATTGACAAAAACACACAGAGCTTTGGAGTTAATGAAAGTAGTTTTTATTTGAAGGTGGATTTCAGTCCCTGACTATGTAAGATGACATGAATAAATGTACATTTCAAAGTAAATCAAGATGCATAATCTACATTTCCCAGTACACAACTTGTTACAGACAGAGTAAGAGCAAGAAGGATGTTTGCTCAGAGAGAAGTGTGTGGCTCTTAAAAGAGCCTTTGTTGTTGGTGAAGCCGAGCGCTTTGCGTTTACTTAGCCTTGGCGGGCTTCTCGGTCTTCTTGGGCAGCAGCACAGCCTGGATGTTGGGCAGCACACCACCCTGAGCGATGGTGACTCCCCCCAGGAGCTTGTTGAGCTCCTCGTCGTTGCGCACAGCCAGCTGCAGGTGACGTGGGATGATACGAGTCTTCTTGTTGTCGCGGGCTGCGTTGCCAGCCAGCTCCAGGATCTCAGCTGTCAGGTACTCGAGCACAGCTGCCAGGTAAACAGGGGCGCCGGCTCCTACACGCTCGGCATAGTTGCCTTTGCGCAGCAGTCTGTGGACACGACCCACGGGGAACTGAAGCCCGGCACGGGATGAGCGGGTCTTGGCCTTAGCTCTGGCTTTGCCTCCGGTCTTTCCGCGCCCACTCATTTTGACAGGTTCTTTTCTTCGTAGTATCGAGACTAAGAGAAAATGTGGCCCGATCAGCTCAAAGCCTCGCTTATATTTCCGCAGAGCGCGCGGAGCTTCGTCACGCACCAATCGCAGAGAGGCTTGCGGCAGCGCGCAACATCAATGCACTTTTCTCCAATGAGCAGCACACACCGAGGCGGGGCGATGCTCCACGTGGAGCCCGTCACCAATCACGAGCCGGAGCGGCACCGCGTCACAGCCAGTCACACACTTTAAGAGCAGCGAGTCTCCTCCGTTCGCTACATTTTCTGCTCGTATCACAAGAAAAGAAAAGTGAGGAAGAATGGCAAGAACCAAGCAGACCGCTCGCAAGTCTACTGGCGGCAAAGCCCCCAGGAAGCAGCTGGCCACCAAGGCCGCTCGTAAGAGCGCCCCGGCCACCGGAGGCGTCAAGAAGCCCCACCGTTATAGGCCTGGTACCGTGGCTCTGCGCGAGATCCGCCGTTACCAGAAATCCACCGAGTTGCTGATCCGCAAGTTGCCCTTCCAGCGCCTGGTCCGCGAGATCGCTCAGGATTTCAAGACCGACCTGCGCTTCCAGAGCTCTGCTGTCATGGCTCTGCAGGAGGCCAGCGAGGCTTATCTGGTCGGACTCTTCGAGGACACCAACCTGTGCGCCATCCACGCCAAAAGGGTCACCATCATGCCCAAAGACATCCAGCTGGCTCGCCGCATCCGCGGAGAGAGAGCTTAAGCTGCATGCTCTCCTACCAACAACGGCTCTTTTCAGAGCCACCTCACTCACACAAAGAGCTCGCTCCTTTATTCTTTTTATTAGTATTCTTTTTATAAAACAAGTTTTATGCTCACTTGACTCTTAATGCTGTTTCTATACCAGAAATTACAGTTTGCATCAACATGGAATTCACTGACTTGATTTTCACAATTGCCTCACTATGGCCAATGTCATTGGCTGGGCCTTTCACGGACCTGTTTACATCTTCATGCATTCTCAGTCATCCAGGAAAGTAAATCTCCAAAAAGTTGATTCTGTTCATAGATGTAAAACAAATATGCCAGCAGTTTATCTCAGTTAACGAGAGGAGCAGGCATGTGTGTGTGGCCCCTTCACATAGTGGACATTGAGTTGTGTGGGGACATGTAGTCCATGTCTTTTGCTGTAACAGTAGTTCATGTTGAGAATAAAACATCCCAGCTCACTAACTTGATCGGGGCAATAGTGCCTAAAATCTTGCATCATTTTGCCGAGAGATCTTTTACTTTGTGGTCATCTTAGATGGACAAAAACCACCAGGTCATTCAGTGTTCCCTTAGTGCTAATGCATATAAGAGATGTTGGTGTACTATAACTGAAGTAATGTTAAGTCCTTAAAGTCATATTCTTTTATTATCATGACTGTATTTCAAGCTTCCTTTTTTTTGGTATGATACCTGATTGATATGGAATATGGCTGAAGTAAACTAAAGTCTAAAATACTTACTCAGTCATTTGTTTAATAGTAATTTAACATTATATAATTCACATATAAAACTATGAATTGTAATTTTAAATGGTTTAAAAGCATGAAGAATAGCATATGTAGGCAAGTATATTTCTCCTCTTTTTTAAAATAAATAAAATAAATAATAATAATCAAGAAACAAAGACAAAAGCAGGGCAGGGTTTGGAGGTTGAATCATCCATCCCCACCAATGCCAAAACCAAATCTAAGCCCTTGTCAGGATCATCCCCCACCACCTGCAGCTGGCCGTCCACAACGACGAAGAGCTGAACAAGCTGCTGGGCTGAGTGACAATCACTCAGGGTGGTGTGCTGCACAACATCCAGGCCAAGAAGAATGAGAAAGCTGAATAAAATCCAGCCACTTTCCTCAACCAACTAACGGCTCTTGTAAGAGCCACTCACCTCTGAGAGTACACTTGGTTAAAGTAATGAAACTAAATCTTTAATCCAAAGGTGTCAAACTCATGTTCACAGTAGAACTGAAGTGGGACAGCCCTGTTAGTCTATCAGTATGTGCAACACATTTAGTTGTTTTAGTACATGAATAAAAATCTGACTGACTTGAATTGTAAAGTTATTACCCAGACTTTTCTTTTTTATAAACTTAATGTAAAAACAGAAATCTGTGTAGTATGAACATAAACATTGTCTCATTGTTTGTTCCTTAAAGTACTTGCACTAAAACTTAAAAAAAGACAGCTGAGTAGATTAAAGAGGTTCAGACTTATAATTGTAAATCACTACAAACTCTCATTTAGGTCTAAGATTCATTTAGACCGACAGCGAACCACAGCTGTGAGCTACATGCAAACACACTTTGTGTGTGGTATTTTCTGTCATTCTGATCCACTCCTTCAAAGGAGCTTTTTTTAAATTATTATTATTTATACCTGGACGCACGTCAACTAAATGTAGACAACCTGGCAAAACTTCTTGTTTGCGATGTGGGTCGTTTCATCACAGAGCATTTACAGTTGCCTTTGATACTTTGTTTGCAGTTTAAACAGACGTTGCATTTCAAGTGCATAAAATCTGCATACTAAAACATATGTTAGACAATGTTGCTTGTATGAAGGTTATGTCAGGATTGTGAGAGTGAGATCACATCAAAACTGTTATATTGATATGATTGGTGAAGATGATATTTCAGGCACACATCAGGAAGAGGTTTAAGAAGCTTCATTGGGTTTCAGCCACTCATGTCCACCTTTTATATATATCCACGGTGGGTTAGTTACCTTAAAAAAAAAAGAATCTACTAAGCAAGCACTTCTGCATCAAGCAGATTTATGGCAGGAAGACATTTACAAATAAACTGATGAATAAGTGAAATTTATTATTTTTCTTTTGTTTGGTCTATGACTGTTCAGTGAGTATTAATAAACAGTGGTATTGAATAGGCCTGTAACCTGTGAAGTTCAGTTTGTGGTCATGACAGTTATTGTAACGTGAAGAAAAGCACGCATTACAGCTGAATCTTATAGCAAAACGGAGAGTCAATATAATCTTGTAGCGTCCCTCGACAGACGATCAGCGTTCCGGTTACCGGTGTTTATTCAGAATAGTAACACGGGCTACTGTGGGCCGTAGCCAACGCCAAAACAACGGGGGGAAAGTGCCCTCTACAGCAACAGCACAACCCCCGACACTCTTCTGTCTTCCGCCACACACAAACTACTCTAATCCCCGCCCCCGAACACTGTCAGCCAACCACACACCTGCTCTCCTCCAGACTGTCATTGGTAGCTGATGTGATTGACAGACTAACCGGCCTCTCGACTACCGCACATTCAAGGACACTCGGTAAATCGCCATGCTGCGGATGTGGTCCAACTATGAACACAATACACTGATAACACAACAGTCAACTGACTTGTAACCCAGTCAGTTACAATATGTAGGCAATGTCAGTCGGTCATAAGGGAACAAAACTCTCAAAGTGAAAGTGGGTGGCTCTTAAAAGAGCCGTTTGATGGATTAGGTCGAATGAGTTTAACCGCCAAAGCCGTAAAGAGTGCGGCCTTGCCTCTTCAGAGCGTACACCACATCCATGGCGGTCACAGTCTTCCTCTTGGCGTGCTCAGTGTAGGTGACGGCATCACGGATGACGTTCTCCAGGAAGACCTTGAGCACACCACGAGTCTCCTCGTAGATCAGGCCGGAGATACGCTTCACTCCGCCACGGCGAGCCAGACGACGGATAGCGGGTTTGGTGATGCCCTGGATGTTATCACGGAGAACTTTACGGTGACGCTTGGCGCCTCCCTTGCCGAGTCCTTTGCCACCTTTGCCCCGTCCACTCATGGTTACAGTTTCTTCTTTGAACAAACAAAGTCGAATGAAGTTCAATCCCACGGAGCCGTCTTATTATGTGTGCTCAGCGGACGTAAAAGGAAACAGACGGTGCGAGGCTCGCTGGACGACTCGAAGCTCAGTGGCTCCGCCCACTCCTCTCTTCTCTAAATGTGGAAATGTTGTCTTTTGTTAATGACAAATCAAATCTAACCGAATGGAGGCTCACAACAAATCGCACCCACAATGTCATGTCAATGTTTTTCGAAATCTACAAGTGTATTTACTTGTGTACAGTAAACTGCGATGGAGACAACCAGTGCCACTCCACCCCCAATGAAGCCTCTTAAACCTCTTCCTGATGTGTGCCTGAAATATCTTCTTCAACTCTCAAAATCCTGACATAACCTTCATACAAGCAAGATTGTTTGCAGTTTAAACAGACATGTTGCATTTCAAGTGCATAAAATCTGGCTACTAAAACATAAGTATCAAAGGCAACTGTAAATGCTCTGTGATGAAACGACCCACATCGCAAACAAGAAGTTTTGCCAGATTGTCTACATTGACGTGCTTCCAGGTAAAAAAAAAAAAAAAAAAGCTCCTTTGAAGGAGTGGATCAGAATGACAGAAAATACACCACACCACTAGTGTTTGCATGTAGCTCACAGCTGTGGTTCGCTGTCGGTCTAAATGAATCTTAGACCTAAATGAGAGTTTGTAGTGATTTACAATTATAAGTCTGAACCTCTTTAATCTACTCAGCTGTCTTTTTTTAAGTTTTAGTGCAAGTACTTTAAGGAACAAACAATGAGACAATGTTTATGTTCATACTACACAGATTTCTGTTTTTACATTAAGTTTATAAAAAAGAAAAGTCTGGGTAATAACTTTACAATTCAAGTCAGTCAGATTTTTATTCATGTACTAAAACAACTAAATGTGTTGCACATACTGATAGACTAACAGGGCTGTCCCACTTCAGTTCTACTGTGAACATGAGTTTGACACCTTTGGATTAAAGATTTAGTTTCATTACTTTAACCAAGTGTACTCTCAGAGGTGAGTGGCTCTTACAAGAGCCGTTAGTTGCTCTAAGACAGTCGCAGGATTTTATTTAGCTTTCTCATGCTTCTTGGCCTGGATGTTGGGCAGCACACCACATTCAAAATTACAATCCATAGTTTTATATGTAAATTATATAATGTCAAATTACCATTAAACAAATGACTGACTAAGAAATTTAGACTTTAGTTTACTTCAGCCATATTCCATATAAATCAGGTATCAAAGGGGCAGGGGCTTGAGCACCTTTCCTGATGGGTGCCCAAAGTGCCCTTTTGTTGAGGCAACTTTTTAAAAAAGAATTATTTATTTATTTATTTTTTATGTGTGTGTGCAGAGTCCTGTCTGTGCCCCTCAACAATAATATTTAACTATTAATCACAGTTTTGCTAAATAAAAGGCTCTGGCTTGCAATTTTTGCAGGTGAATTTTTTTCAGGTGAATTTTTGCAGGTGAATTTTTGCAGGTGAATATTTTTGCAGGAAAATTTGGAGGATAAAAATTCAGTGTCATAAATTCAATGTCTAAAAATACCTGAATTCTGATGATACTATATTTCTTCCATAGAGAAACACAAGTTAACTCAGAGACACAGACTGATGCGACAAAACCAGTAAGTAGGTGTACAGCGTACACTGTAGTGTGTAGCACACAGGAGTATTAGCTTATTACGTACACGTTGGTAAGTTGTCTTGTTGCAACTGACGAACTGAAACAAACGAGCGTGCTGTGTGTGCAACAGCGCGACAAACATTACCTGTCCTTTTATTAACTGCACAGGTAGTGCTGGTCATAGCTGCTGGCTACCTGTGTAAGGCTTTCATGGGTCTGTAGCTCTGTCACCGTTTTAGGGAACATATTTAGTTTTAAAGCAAGTTTCCGGGCTTTTCCTGCCTTTCTGGAGGGATTATATTTCACTAAAAAACGATCTAATATGCATGTCCACATTATTATGCATTATTATAATATTTAAAAAAAAAAAACACACGCTGTATTTTAAAGAACATACATTAAGAAGCAGATTATATTAGATTTATATTTTAAATAAGACAAAATTTGCATTTTACAGCAGTAAAATTATTGTATCTCTACAGTTTAAACATGTAATAAGCTTTGCCCCTGCACAGAGTGGATAGTGAAACAAATGGAATCATCATAATGACATTATTTCATATTTATATTTATATTAAGAAGAGAAGCAAAGAGTGATTCACAGGCAGAGCCTAATTTATTTCTCACAGTTTTTGTTGCCTTATGGTTCCAAGCACTGTCACCAATCTTTGCATTTTGTTACTATCTCATGATACTTGTTTAATCAGCTACCATCTCTATGGACTTTTTAATGTCTACAGTCTCAGATCAACACAGCCCTGCCCTCCAGTACTATCAGCAGCAGGAGCAGCAGGAACCCCTCAACAGCAACATTTTACCCATCAGGTAAAACATCGGCTTGTGCCGTGATATTTAAACCGAGCAGCATCACTGACTTTCAGCTTGTTGTGTTTGTGGATATATGACTGACTTTAATTATCCATAAAATCATCACAATCTCTGTAAGATTAAAGTCAACTATTGAACGGCGTATATTTTGAAGTAAAGGCTTTTAAACCAAGTTAGTACAAACATCGCTAATGTCACATAACTTACCCGACATGTGGCCAACAGTAATGTTTTAATGTTCTTCATTATAAAAACATTTGCGCATAAATAAGTGACATAATATTCAGTACTTATGAAGGCTACACCAACCCATCCTTAAAATTCAGGGAAATTAAGGACGCATTTGAGGGCCGCATTTCGAGCAGCCTTTGAATTGGGACAGCCTTCGTCGTGTCGCTGTGACGTAATCGGCCTTAAAATGCGGCCTTTAATCAAATCAAATCAAATCACTTTTATTGTCACATCACATGTGCAGGTACACTGGTACAGCACATGTGAGTGAAATTCTTGTGTGCGAGCTTCACAAGCAACAGAGTTGTGCAAAATACAATAATGTAAACAAGCAAAATACAAGAATGGCTACATCTGAAACTAATAAATATATGTACAATATATAATAGTATATGCATTTCTGGATGTGTATACTAAATGTTTTTCTACGTGTGTGTGTGTGTATACACATTTTTACAAATTAAATAGACTAAACAATAAATAAAAAATATAAAAATATACAGAGTGAGACGTGCAAAACAGTGGCATTACTGTACAGTGTGGAGTGCATAATGTTGAAGTTCCAGTAGTGAAGCTGGGGTGTCTATGAAGTGTTCAGCAGTCTGATGGCCTGATGGAAGAAGCTGTCTCTCAGTCTGCTGGTACGGGACCGGATGCTGCAGAACCTCCTTCCTGATGGAAGCAGTCTGAACAGTTTATGGCTGGGGTGACTGGAGTCCTTGATGATCCTCCCCGCTTTCCTCAGGCACCGCTTCCTGTAGATGTCTTGGAGGGAGGGAAGCTCACCTCCAATTATCCGTTCAGAGCACCGCACTACTCGCTGGAGAGCTTTGCAGTTGTAGGCGGTGCTGTTGCCGTACCAGGTGGTGATGCATCCAGTGAGGATGCTCTCAATGGAACAGTGATAGGAGGTCCTGAGGATGCGGGGGCTCGTGCCGAATCTTTTCAGTCTCCTGAGAAAGAAGAGGTGCTGCTGCGCCTTCTTCACTGTTTTGTTTGTGTGTACTGACCACGTAAGATCCTCAGCCAGATGTACTCCAAGGAACTGGAAGCTGCTCACTCTCTCCACAGCAGCGCCGTTGATGGTGATGGGAGTGTGTACTTCTCTGCACCTCCGGAAGTCCACTATCAACTCCTTTGTCTTTGCGACGTTGAGGGTGAGATGGTTGTCTTGACACCAGTGGGTCAGGGCGCTGACCTCCTCCCTGTAGGCCGTCTCATCGCCGTTGGTGATAAGACCCACCACTGTAGTGTCGTCCGCAAACTTCACAAGGCAGAATTGACAAATAAAGTTGACTTTGACTTTGACTTTTTGACTTTGATGTTGGAATTGTTAGCGGCTGTGCAGTCGTAGGTGTAGAGTGAGTACAGGAGAGGGCTCAGTACACACCCCTGTGGAGCACCAGTGTTCAGTGTGATGGGGGATGAGGTGATGCTGCAGGTAAGGCTGCAGACCCCAAATCTGGTCATTGGTACTTCCTGGCTTGTGTAGTTACTAGGTAACAAAAGCCCAACACTGCCCCTAGCGTCCTGGAGCACTTCCGTTGTGTTTTGGAATTTGCATGTGTTTTGGGGTTTGCAAGTGTTTTGGAGTTTGTATGTGCTTTGTCTCTAGGGGCCACCGTAATTTTGGCATCTAGTCGCCAACTTTCTGCCCTATAATAGTTCAACAAATGAGCCTTTTGTATTATAGTTAGTCTAGTTGTGTGTTTATAAAGTTAAAGTGCACATCATCAAGTCAGGTGGGTTTGTCATTTCCACCATGTGCAGTACAGTACACAGTGAAGTAAGACCATAGTGCTGCATATAACAGACACAGGATCACAAAAATTGCATATATGGAGAAACTACAACAAAACGAATAGATATACGTAGTGATGTGACGTTCTGTATCGAGGCTTCGAAGCTTCTGTCGAGTAATGGAGGGGGCGTTTCCGCGATGCGCATAACAAGGCTTGCTTCATTCATGGGAGGAGCTGAAAATGATGACGTCTGAAGCCTCGCTGCCCGGCTGTACCATGTGACTGTTTCAGGAAGTGGTTCGAACTTTGTCGTGAGCTATGACTGAGATATAAACCCCTCAGACTTCATTCAAAATGTGGATGTTTGATGGAGAGTTGGGGTTAGTGAGAGTTTGGAGACAGTTTGGAGGTTTATGAGAGTGAGGAGAGAAAGTCAGGAGAGAATGGAGCCAGCTAAGAAGAGGAGGATGTCCTCCCCTGTGTGGGAACATTTTGATCCTATTCCTCCCAACAAGGTATGTAAATTTCTACAGAAGATGTATTTTCATAATACTGATGGTGCAATACAATTTATGTTAAGCTGTCTTTACTTTTGTACAAGGTGAAGTGTTTGCTCTGTGCCAGGGAGCTGGGATATAACAACAACACATCATCCATGCTTAGGCACTACAGAGCTTTGCATGAGAATAGGAACACCAATTGTGGAGCAAGACCAGGTGAGCCATCAAATGCAATGATAATATAGCATGCAGTAGTGATGGCCCGCTTGAAGCTGAAGCTCCGGTGCATGTGTCAAAAAAATCAACACACTGCTTCAGAAGCACTGTGTCGAAGCTTGATTCGTTTGGCCAGAGTCACATGATCAGTGACGTCCGAAGCTTCATTTAGAGTGTGACTGCTTCGGTGTCTGATTCAATGGTTTATAAGCAGGCGAATCATTCGCGGGATTTGTGGAGTGTTTTGATGGTGACAGATAGCGAACCACTGATCATTCTACTGAGAGATTTGGAGCCAGTGAGGAATAGAGGAGGTTCTGTTGTGCGGGAGAATTTTGAGTAGATTTTTGTCAATCGGGTGGGTTTTCCAGCTTTGTGTTCTTGTTGTTTGCCGGAGGTTTCTTCCTGTTAAAAGGGAGTTTTTCCTTCCCACTGTCGCCAAAGTGCTTGCTCATAGGGGGTCATATGATTGTTGGGTTTTTCTCTGTATCTATGAAGCGCCTTGAGGCGACTTTTGTTGTGATTTGGCGCTATATAAATAAAATTGAATTGAATTGAATTTAAATTTTGTTTTGTGCGTGTTTATTATATCTGAAAACGGGAAAAAGGTAAAATGTCAAACATCTGCTTCCATAATATAAATATCATTAAGTAACTTTAGAAAAACTTCCACTTGATTCTTTACATGTAATGTTGTAAAAATATATATTTTATTGTTTAATTAATCTGAAAATGTTAGTCTGCCAAATGTGCAGCAATTTAATGTATTTATTCTCTTTAGCTGATAGTTTGTGGGGCCCAGGTAGACTGTATAACTGCATCTCTACCAGTTTCTCTGCACTCCAGCCTCCTCTGTGCCATGTGAAGGGATTTTCCTTAAGCCAGGAGAAATTATCTCCACGAAAAGGAACAGGTTCGGCCATCGCACACTAGAACAAATTCTCTTTTTAAATAAAAATGGAAAAGGGTTACCGTCAATGCATCATGTTTTTAATTTGCAAGTTCATAAGCATTTTCCCTTTCCATTTCACAATCAATTCTACCCCCAGGTCAAAAATATGTCTGGGAACATTTCCCTAATATAATATTATTTATAAATATACCCCTCCGGCGATTAAATGCATACGTGCATGGAGGCAGGACCTCAGAGCAGAAGCATACTCCATAATGTGTTGTACATTATTATATGTATATATTATATGTAACGTGGTATTTTTCAATTATTGTATTTTACCAACATCAAGAAGTCACAAGCAAAGACAGACCACACCATGATGCATATTTAAACAAGGAGAGTTTACTGATCAAAACTATTTATTAAACAAATAAAACACATTTTTTTAACCACCAAAAAATACACGTTCAAAGCAACACAACGGAGGCCCAATATCAGACAGGATTCCACTCAGTAGAGTGAGCAGTCATAATGAAGCGGTTGGTTTTATTTTGTGGATTCAAGCTGCACTTCATATTTTTGACCACCAGATGTCACCAGAGAGGACTGTGTTGAAAAGCTTCGAGTAATGAACCGTTTTTCAATACAAGCGTCAGTGCTTCAGAAAGCTTCATTTGGCCATCACTAGCATGCAGTAATGTTACTAAATGATATAACAATATTATACAAGTGCAATAAGTTACGTATGTGATATTTATATTTGTGCTTTGTTTTTATTGTCTTTCCTCAGGAGAACAATCTCAAATAGATGAAGACCTGGTTAGCATGGTGATTGAGGACTCCCAGCCATTTATCATTGTGGAGGACAAAGGATTTAAAAGATTTGTTGAATCATTAAATCCTAGCTATGTTCTCCCCACTAAAAAGGTCATAACAGCAGTGAAAATTTAGTTTTTACAGAATAAAATGTGAACAGGCAGGACTGAACCTCAAAGCCTAAGTGTGTAGCTACACTACACACTGCTTCACAGCCACGTCGTACTTTTAAACAAAATGTTTTTTTCTTTCCTTTAGGCCCTGAAAGTCATGGTGGAGGCCAGGTACCAGAAGATGAAGGAGAAAGCTAAGGCCAGCATTGAGAAGGCAGCAGCTGTGAGTCTGACATCAGATATATGGACCTCCAACACAGAGGCCTATCTTTCAGTCACCTGCCATTTTGTTGATGAGTCCAGCACATTAAATACTGTTGTTTTAGGAGTGCAGTATTTTCCTAATGCACACACTGAAGAAAACACAAGTGAAAGGCTCACTCATGACAGAATGGGCAATTACTGACAAAGTCACATGCCTAGTAACAGATGGGGCTGCTAATATGAGGGCTTGTGCAAGGGAACTACGACTCAAACATGCCATATGCATAGCTCACACCCTGAACTTAGTGGTGAAGAAGGCCCTTGACCAGACCCCTGAGCTCTCACATCCTGAGCTCTCTGACATCCGAGCCAAGTCCAGGAAGATCACGGGATATTTCAGGAGCAGTACCCCTGCAAAACTAACTTCTTAAGTGGCTTAATTACATTAATTATTAATTATAGTTCTGCTCCCTTGACAATCTAATGTATGCTTTTTTTAAATTGTATTTTGTAAGGAGAGGCTTTCAGTGATACAGGAACGACCATGGGCTGGACTGGGACAAAAAAAAAAATCGGCCTGGGCATTTTGACTAGAGACTGGCCCACCAGGTATTATAGGAAAAACCATAAAGCCTTTGAATGAAAACAAATGCTGTTGTCACAAGTGATGTGCACTGTCTTGTTGGTATATGTGTATCAATCTAATAAACTTAAACCTACACCATCCTCCCTATTCTGGCATTCTAAACTGTACCCGAAAGTAGACTGCTTGGTTGAGTCAACCTCCTGAACTATCTACAACACACGGTGAAAACCTGAAATTAAGACAGAAGACTAGAGGTGAGACATGATTACTGAATATTAAAAATAAATAAATAATATTTTATTAATAAAATAAACAGATATTGAGGTCCAACGGTACATGATGGAGCCAAATATTGGAAGGCTGGAGGACCCCCTTAAATACTGGGAGAGACAAAAATATGTCTTTCCTCACTTATATAAGGTAACACTGACATACCTGTGTACCCCTGCCTCATCTGTGCCCTGTGAGCCGACTATTTTCAAAAGCAGGGGAATTATTGTCCAAAAAAAAAAAAAAAAAAAAAAAAATCTACGACCTGCCACAGTGGAGAAACTGTTTTTAAATAAAAACCAATGACGTGTTCCCTGAACACTAATCACGGTCCACACCTCAACGCTACAAAAGCACAACCACTGTCCACACCCTAACCACACCTCACAGTAAATGATCATTTCCATTTTAAGCATTTCCAAATAATCATTTTCCATACTGCCAGTATAAATATACACAGTATACTGCCATCACTACAATATACATGTTTTACACACTCCTTTTGTTGTTGACATTTACAGGCTGTGTGCAAAAGGCCACACTTTTCAAATTCATGCCAACTAATATTTTTATGTCCAGTAGGTGTCCTGCTAGAGCAAATGAAGCTTCAAGACGCTTTGTGCTGGGGTGAAAAGCTTCACAGCTTCATAAAGCGTCATCTATTAGACCTATACGACCTAACCAATATAGACAGTGCAATAAAAAGACGCAACTTCGCATATCAGGAATAAAATAAAAAGTATGCTTGAACGGTCAGATACTAAGTTGCTGTAACTCTGCGTTTATCTCTCTACAATTAAAAAAAAAAAAAAACGGGAATCCATTTCGGTCATCTCTATCACTGCAGCGGATTGAGACAACGCAGTGACACACAGGCGAACACCTGCGATTCAAGTGCAGAAGTTGGCAACAAAGTAATTGTACGTTGAATAATAGGACGTATGCTCGTCAGTTTAAAGTGTGTGGCTCTGAAAAGAGCCGTTGTGTTTAGGTCTGATGCCAGTTTATTTGGAGCTCGTGTACTTTGTCACAGCCTTGGTGCCCTCAGACACTGCGTGCTTGGCCAGCTCACCGGGGAGGAGCAGGCGCACTGCGGTCTGGATCTCCCTGGAGGTGATGGTGGAGCGTTTGTTGTAATGGGCCAGGCGAGATGCCTCGGCTGCGATGCGCTCGAAGATGTCGTTGACAAACGAGTTCATGATGCTCATGGCCTTTGAGGAGATCCCGGTGTCGGGGTGGACCTGCTTCAGCACCTTGTACACGTAGATGGCGTAGCTCTCCTTCCTGGTCTTTCTCTTCTTCTTGCCGCCCTTGCCGGCGGTCTTGGTCACGGCTTTCTTGGAGCCCTTCTTGGGCGCCGACTTCGCAGGTTCAGGCATTTTCTCTCCTCGATACTCTGCAGTAACGAATGAGCTCCGTGGCTGAGAGCAGCGCTTTTTATACAGGCTGTATGCTAATACGACTGCGCGGGCCCTCGGATCTCATTGGTGGAGCCGCACAGTGGGCCGGACGTTGTGTTGGAGGGAGTTTGTGAACTGTGCTGAAACAGGCGCGCATCTAACAAAGACAGTGGGCTGTGTGATTGTGTCCTCGTTTGCTGAGACAGTCATTTGTTCTAAATGAGCAGTAAATGTATTTCCAACTAAGCACATCGCTTTGTATCTGCACAGTTTTAGTTAAGTTCAATGTCTCACTACTGCACACATGACACTGAACCATTCACTTTTTTATTATCTGGTGTTCATATGTTTTTTTAGCCGTTGATTTCCAGAAGTGTGTATTTAAAGGAGGCCTTCAGGTGCTGTACTGCAGGCAGTCAGAGTTTAGAACTAAATGTGAAACTAATCATAAGTTAGTTTATCTGTTCTTTTCTATCAAACAAAAAAGTTTCATGTAATTTTTTTTTTTTTTTTTGCGATTCTCTGGTTTGCATATGTTGTATTTGTCATGGTCCCAGGACTTCTAACCCGGTGTTTTGAGTTTTGACATTCTGTTTTAAGTTCATTTGTATTCTTAAAATCCCTAGGTTGCCTGTTCAGTTTAGTTGATTAGATTTCCCCTTGTTTCTTTGCCCTTTATCTCCATTTATGTGTCTGCGTGTATTTAATTGTGAATTATTGTGGCTTTTTTCACTTGTGTTTAATTCCATCATGTTTATCATGTTTCCCCAGCCTGTTATGTCTGCGCTCTCCCCGTGTCTCTGTCCCCCCTCCTGTCGTCTCTGTGTCCTCCCTGTGTTACGTTTAAGGTCCTCATCTTGGTCAGTATTTTGCAGTTCTGTGTCCTTCCTGTCTTGTTATGTGTAATTGTCCTCAGCTGTCCTCCCCGTATGTTCCCTAGTCCCTCATTACCTTCTGTGTATTAATGCCAGAATCTCCCTCTGTTCCGTGTCGCGTCGTCCCTCATCACATTTCTATTTACAGAGTTAGAAAGTGCTTTATTTAATTCACTGTGAATCACTATGGAAATAAATGGAAACAAACAGAACAGGTACAAACAGTGGGCCTGTCTCAATATGTGTACTTGTACGTACTTGTGAGTCGTGTCCAAAAGGGCTGCATCCTCCTGAGGACTCGGCCTTCGTGGCCTATGTGGGCCGGGTCCTCAGAAGGTCAGGTATACCGGAAGCAAACGGCTGTGAAATTGGACACTCTAGCCTTCAGATTTGCATCACCACTGTCCTGAGTAAATCGGTTTGGCTGAGATTAAAGTTAAGCTTCATAACATATTAATCACAGTTAAATTAAGAGGGGACGACAGTAAAAACTCTGGACCTGCGACATCATCAAGTACGCTGGTGTTCCAATTGTAGAAATTGCAAGTCCGTGCTTGCGTTCTCGGCGAGTACGGACTTGTGTACTTGAGAAACAGCCAGTGCGAAAGACTCAGATGAGGAAGAAGCTGCTGGTTAGAAATGAACGACTGATCAGAAACACAAAAAACAAGTTAATGAAAACATGAACAGCTTTGATTCACACCAAGTAAAGGGAGGAAGTAATCAAACATTTTCTTTAGGTATAGAAAAATAAAAAGAAATGTTTGTTTCTGAACATCGTGAAAGTGTCTGAGTGTGACATCATTTCTGGTTTTACTCTGTGAAATTCTCTCCTCTGTCTGTGAGCTCTGCAGAGAAACCAGTAACACAACTTAAACACAAATATAACCAGAACAAATATGATGGACCAGGACACACTCTCCTTCAGCTGTCCTGGAGCATGCTGGGAGATTACATGTAGCTGCTCCCACCATGCTGCAGTATTCTTAGAGAGAAAATGTCCCCACCATTGTTTGTGTTGATTCATTTCCTTCATGAAAGCAGACAGAAGCTGAGAGGAGACAAACTCAGCACAATCAAAGTGTTAGATTTTCAGTGCTAAGAGGGAAACAGTCATTTCAGCTTGTGTTCAGTGCTATTCAAAGAGCTGCTGTTAAACCACAGAGTTAAAGTCAGCTCTAACATTTTATACACAGTATGCAGTGTTAGTGTGGAAACATGTTCACTAAACACTTCCTGATGTGGGACAGGTAGATACAGGCTGATTCTTTCACTTAGTGCCACTGAGTGAACAGATCATAATGGACTGGAAGATGACTGCCGTGCAAATATTCTCACACATACATTACTCAGATGAGGTTGCAAAGTTTATGATATGCATCTGGCAGGTAACACAGTGTCGATAGTCAGCGACGGGTTATGCGGGCAATTGAAATAAACTATCTGTGCAGGAAACAATGTTCTACTTTTCTGGAGATCCCAGATGCCTTCCGTGTTTCGAAGATGGAGCATACACTTACATGCATTACTTACATCACTGGGGCGACCGTGGCTCAGGGGGTTGGGAAGCGTATCTGTAACTGGAAGGTCGCCGGTTCGATCCCCGGGCTCTCTGTCCTGGTCGTTGTGTCCTTGGGCAAGACACTTTACCCTACTGGTGTTGGCCAGAGGGGCCGATGACGCGATATGGCAGCCTCGCTTCTGTCAGTCTGCCCCAGGGCAGCTGTGGCTACAACCGTGGTTGCCTCCACCAGTGAGTGAATGAATAGTGGCATTGTAAAGCGCTTTGGGTGCCTTGAAAAGCACTATATAAATCCAATCCATTATTAAAATAGATATCGATGTAGTTCCTTTCTGTTTCCACAAGTTTACACTGCTTACACTGCTTTCCAGCAGGTCAACAGCGCAATCTGTTGACCTGCTGGAAACTCTTGCACAAAATGACTTTGTCTTTTAAAAGATGTAGGGAACCTCTGGCCTTTATTAATGATATCAGTTAAAAATACATTCATAAATGTGAAATCTATTCTCAGTTATTTTAATAATAACTGCATTAAAAAAGTGTTGTAAATTCTTTAAGAGAAGAAAGGAAATCAAAGGCAGCACATGCCTTTGATTGTTGGAATATCCCAAGGGGCTATTGGGACGAGTACAACCAGTATGAATCATAAACGCCTCAGGCATGTCGATGAGCAGATTGTTTAAGATGACAATCACACTAAGGAAGAGCTTTAAAAAGCTGAGCATAGCCAGTTGGTACGTGACAGTACACTGTTACTTCATGGCTGCAGAATGTCAGTGAAAAACAGCCAGCAGCACTAAATAGTTTATTTTTGACTCCACTTAGTGGATTCCTGCATTAATACTCTTGAACTGTAAACTGTAAAACATATCAGTGTCTTAAACACACATTAATAGTCTAATTATTCTTAAATATAATGATACTATTGTTTGTCTGGATACAACTTTGCTTTGATATTTCTGCAGTCTTTCATTTTGTCTTTAGATATTTTAATGAGTGAATGAAGTCAGACTGTAGATTGTCCTTCTTCTAGCTGTACTGACTGACCTTTGACCTCATGTGTTGATGACTCTTCACCTTTGTCTCCTCTCACAAGGAGAAGATGATCTGCAGGATCCTGCTGCTCATCATCCTCACCTCATGTGTCTCTGGTTAGTTTACAGCTTCACTTTATGAACTCCAAAGCTCAACAACAGATTTGTTCCAGTTTAAGAGTGAATGAGTGAGCAGTTTTACAGGCCTTACCCTACGATATAAGCAGAGGAGAGTGGATGGATGGATGGACAGCTGCTTGTGTCAGCAATGGAGAAAACTGTATAAGTTCTTGGAGTTCTTTTATCTGCTTGTGAATGAGGAAGAAACTCAAAGAAATTTGTTTACATCGTGAAAGTGCTTCTCTTAAATCAAAAGCACTTCTCGCTTTATTACCTGTTGAACAGGTAGTAAAAAACAATTTAGAAGGAATGCGGCATGAACCAACGAGAAACTGATATAACAACAATACAGCAGCTTTCTTATCTACCCAGACATATCAGGACACAATGGTGAAGGATGCATTCATGGATGTATGAAGAGGTTTTTAAACACTTATCTGTAAATGGATAATTTCAGTCAGACTGAACCCAACACTATTGTGCAGAACTCTTGGCTCTGGCTTTCAGCTGTCTTAAATTATGAGGCAATAAATCACACAGAAAGCTGAATTTTTCTCACGTGAGTCAACAATGTTGAATAACCTAAGTATAAAACAAGAAATAGAATCAGCTCCAAAACTCAACTCGAAGTATGTGAGACTGATTTTATTGTTTTGATCAAAGGGCGATTTACAGTTTTGTGTTTTAAACGTGTCTATTAAAATGTTGCATTTCTGTCATTGAATATGTGTATAAACCTTTTATAAACAATCTATTCACTGACTGTTGCCTAAAAGCTGGAGTTGAACAGTAACTTTTTAACTAACAGGTGACTCACACTGAAAACAGCAGTACATGACCCTGTAACCATGTGGTCCTAACTGTTGTGACACTAATGAAATCTACAATGAGTGTCATTGTAATGACACATCTTCATTCCTAACTAGTTAAAATGTAAATTGATAATATAACAGCGAAAATTCAGATCCAGTTACAAATGAAGTATTAGGGACTAACGGATAAACCCTTTGAAAGTTCTCCACTATGACTGTGTGGCAGGATGAGGTGCTCAGGAATAATGAGGAAAAGAGCAAGGGACTAATGATGATGTTCCAAGCACACACCATGGTTCATAAATAATCACAGCACACATAAATACCCACCACCAGGGCCCCCTAATCACCTCCTCTTTAGGCCTTCCTCTGAATAAGACTAACAATTTTTATTCTGAATACTTTATTAAATTAAAAAAAAAAATACTTTTAAGTTCTGCAGATGGATCAAACAAGAAAACAAGTCAAAAAGCAACGAGGACACAACGAGGCAAAGCAACAGCCCACAGATTAAACGTAGGCCAGAGAAACAGCAGTGGCCATGCTACAAAGTCATCAGGCTCAGACCACCGATCAAACTGCATTGCCCAATTCCTCTCCCTGAGTCGAGTCCATACTGTTAAGGTACAAAAGTTCAATACTGCAAACTGAACAACACCCTGCAGGATGTTGCCAGTGTCATCAGTTCTGCTATATGAATGCTATAAGAGGGAACCGGAAATGTATGAATTTAATCTGAAAGCTTTGGATGACTTATTGAATAATTTTAACAGTTTGGGAAATGTTTTCTTCCATTTTAACGTAAGCTTCTAAGAGTTCAGGGAGGTGAGGTCCTCAGTCAGATTAAGCTAATGGGTGGAGCTTCTGATGAAGAAGCAGGAAGAGACTCAGAAGAAGAAGAAGTCGAGGTGACCACACTGCTCAGACTGTGACTGTTTACATGTAGTTGTTTTTTCTTTTCTCTGCTTTTAAACTCAGTGTGATGAGCAGAGCTGCAGCAGCTGCTGTCAGTATGAGTGCAGCATAGAGGCTGATCCTTCCTCGACTCTCTGTCTGTGGGTTCATTGTTGGAGTTTGATGTTTAGGCTCATCAGCAGCTGCTGGAAGGACAGAAAATATTCTTTTATCCTGAACGTTCATCAAATCTATTCACCAAAGTTTATTATCCTAAAGTTCCACTAAGATATGACACTGATATTTAAAGTTCTACTCAATCAACTTACCAGTGACGCTGAGTTTACAATCTTGAAAGCTGCTGCCACTATTTGTCTTCACTTCACATCTGTACAGACCCGAGTCCTCAGTCCTGAGTCCGGACAGTTGAAGTCTGATTCGTCCTTCTCTGAGGGCGTCTTTGTCACTCTGGACTCGTCCTGAAAACTTTGCATCCTGAGACTCTGACACCTCAACACCTTCATGAACCTGATACAGGACTGAGAGTTCTGGACGACTGCAGCGGATCTTCAGTGAAGTGATGAAGCTGTCAGGTTTGGTGGTGAACGTCCACTCCAGTGTGATGTTGTGGTTCTCCTCTGCCTGATAGCAGGTCTGTGTCACATTGACTATAAATGATCCTGTTGAGGAGACAGAGAGGGAAAGAGAGGAGCAGACACACTGAGAACTGGAACAAATCTGTTGTTGAGCTTTATTTGGAGTTCATAAAGTGAAGCTGTAAACTAACCAGAGACACATGAGGTGAGGATGATGAGCAGCAGGATCCTGCAGATCATCTTCTCCCTGTAAGAGGAGACAGAGGTGAAGAGTCATCAACACATGAGGTCAAAGGTCAGAAGCAGTGATGCAGTTACAGAGTTTGTCCACCAGGAGAAAAAAGTAGATTTTTATGTGTTCATGTTATAAATAAATGTGTGCGCTGAGTGAACAAATAAAAGCGGATTAAAACAAAATCATTTGACTTCTCTTGGTTTGATCTGATTTCTATATTTATAAGTCAGACTGGACAGATTCCAAAGTTGGACATTAACTTGGGTTAAGTTTCATGATTAGTTCTGGGCTCTAAGTTTTTTTTTTATGCTGCTTCTCTGCTGAGTAAGCCGTTTATTGGGGATGCAGGGGTGGGCAACTCCAGGCTTTGGAGGCCGGCGTCCTGCAGGTTTTAGATCTCACTCTGGGTCAACACACCTAAATCACATGATTAGTTCGTTAGGCCTCTGGAGAAGTTCAGGACATGTGGAGGAGGTCATTTAGCCATTTAAATCAGATGGGTTGGATCAAGTGCACATCTAAAACATGAGGCCTGGAGTTGTCCACCCCTGAGAGTGTAATTCATAAAATGTGCCTGTGTGAGTTCTTACATTACAGTGAAATTAGAAGTCACATCATCACGTGGTTAGCTTTGTAAAAAATGATGATCGATGGGTTAAAGAGAGAGAGAAGAAAAGGAGGAGATAAAGTACAGCAGCTGGTGTCTGCTCGTCTTCCCACTCACATTCTGCACACTCTAACAAACACATGACTGAGCTGAGCTGAGAGAACAGCAGTTCAGTGAGGGGAGGGGGGTTATGATGAAAGGTGAAGAGTTGTTTAACATATGCTAGCATTTACACTTCGAAGCTAACCGCAGATTATATTAAATATAAATTCTAAAACTGAATACATTTCATAGTGTTAACCATTTTAAGCCCAACAAGTCCACCAGCTTATCTTTACATTCCTAAATGCTGCAGGGCCATTCACATGTTTTCTGTAATTGAAAAGTTTAATTATGTGTCCATTAACAAAATAAGTTATAAACTATATTTATATAAAACATGTGTATACTTAGTGCATTAGTTGTATTTTAACTATAAATAATTCATATTAGAAAATATAAAGCCTGCATATTTGTAAAGAAATGGCTTTGACTTTGCCACTTCATCGGATGTCTTTAGTTCCGCCCCTGCTGTAGTAGTGCCATAAATTAGGTAAACAGAAATACTGAGCTGGACTTCAGTGGCTGAGGATCATGAGAAGATTAAAAGGACACGATAAAACCATAATGCATACACTGCACGGGTGAATGCGCCGGTGATGGTCCTTATAACAACTTATCATAGAGCAAACACTCCAAAACAAGATGCCCATACGGCACTCTGTGGCAACTGGAGCAAATCCTCAAAGGACGAGCAAAAACGGAGGCAGCAGTTTTCCTCCACTGGCTGGGCCGATACACTTGAACATTCACCGCTGAATGGAAGTTCTGCATGGCAGCCATCTAGTCATAGAAATAACAAAATAGCTTTAGCTCCTAGTTTTGTAATTTGCCGTTGGTGGCAAAATGGCGCAAATGCTGCTTAGCCCAGAATTGAAAGAAAGCTATATCCACCTGAAGGAATACAACTGCCCTCTGCACAACAGCTGGAAATAAGGAATCGGGCAGTCTGCAAACAGTGCCGCAAACAAGCCACTAAAACACTTACTAAACAAATTAAGTGGATAAAGGATGGCAAGCACACCTGTGACTTTGTAGAGTCGGATCAAAACCGCTTGGTTCATCCCAAAAATGCACTGACGCCCGATTCCCACGATCAGAAATGCTGAAGGAGCAATCAATGAGGAAATGAACCCCAGTGATGTGACGTTCTGTATCGAGGCTTCGAAGCGTGTGTCGAGTAATGGAGGGGGCGTTTCCGCGAAGCGCGTATCGAGGCTTGCTTCATTTATGGGAGGAGCTGAAAATGATGACGTCCGAAGCCTCGCTGCCCGGCTGTACCACGTGACTGGTTCAGGAAGCGGTTCGAACTTTGCCGCAAATAATCATTTTCCATACTGCCAGCATAAATATACACAGTATACTGCCATCACTACAATATAGATGTTTTACACACTCCTTTTGTTGTTGACATTTACAGGCTGTGTGCAAAATGCCACACTCTTCAAATTCATGCCAACTAATATTTTTACGTCCAGTAGGTGTCCTGCTAGAGCAAATGAAGCTTCAAGAAGCTTCGCGTTGGGGTGAACCAATTGGATGAAAAGCTTCAGTGCTTCATGAGGCTTCATCTGCCCATCACTAATGAACCCCGCGTGTCCTTATACAACAGACGCAGAAAGAGAGAGCGATAGAAAGAGGGAAAAGTGGAACAAGGAGATAAACCTGTCTGACAGAAAATCACGCACCTGGGGGATGCACAGTAGTGATGTTCGATTCGTGAACGAATCGTTCAATACTCGAGAATCATGATTCACAAGCCCAACTGACTCACTGACTCATCCCTGTTGCTGTTAGCAAACTAATTCCATTAGTAGAAATATATGTAGCTTATAATTAAAATTGTGGGGGGGGAACAACAGCCAGTTTCGTAACAAAAGCATTTCTGCTCTGAACTGGAAGAAAAAACCCTGAGTAGAAGCTCACATCAAGAAAATAGCTCCTCGGTTCAGAGTAGCATCGCGCTGCTAACATGCTAACATTTGAGCTACTCACCCCCTCCCTCCTGTGCTGAATCAAAGAGCGAGCGAACGAATCACTCACTCACTCACTCACTCACCCCCTCCCTCCTGGCTCGCAGCTTCTTCTTCTTCTTGGTTGGCAACCAATGTTAAGGCGCATTACCGCCCCCTGGCTCACAGCGCAGTGGACATTTAGATGAGAAAATATATATTTGACACACTTAAGGAAAATACTAATAAAATACAAATAAACAAAATAAATGTTTATTAAGCAATTTTGATAGGAAGTTGCTTAATTTTAGAAATGTTTTTGCTCTTTTTTTCCTCTATAAAATAGTTGTTGTTTTTTTAATCATTCATCTTAGCAGTGGGATTCACATGAAAAGGGAAACAAATTAAGTTTGAGTGAAAATGTAAAATTTTTGCACTCTCTGGTCAACTGACTCAGTGAATCAAATGACTCAAAAATCCGATTCACTTTGGTGAGTGACTCATTAACACCCGATTCAGTAAAAATAATCAAATTTACCATCACTAATGCACAGTACAGTAGTGCAATTCATCCTGATCGGTGATTGGTCAAAGTCTAGAGTGAAAGAGGAGGCCTGTGATTGGTGAAAAATGTGCAATGAAGAAGCCCTCTTTCATTTATTCAGTCTGTTGTCTGTTTTTTCTTAATCAGGTGATGTTTCCAGCTCCTTTATCCCACCGGACACCTGGAATGCTGTCTGTGGTCTTCAGCATGATCACAATGTGTTATTTACGTATGTTGACTGGTTGACAATGACAGGACAGTAAGCATTATCAGTGCACATACAATAAAAGCATCTAGTTTTTATGCCAACATTGATGATGATTTTCCTTTAGCTCTTTTGAACCAAAACAGTTTGGAAAGTCTCCTGAAATCAACAGCAATTGAGAACGAATTGCTTTGTCTCCAACATGAAAAAAAAATGTTGACAGGCGAGGGTGCAGTTGTTGCAATGATAAAGCAGAACATCGCAGTTATCTGCAGCACAGTCACTGAAGACAGCGCTGAAAATCTAACACTTTCGTTCAGTTGAGTTTTCTCCTCTCAACCTCTGTTCACAAGCACGCTTCAGTCTTTCGCTTAAAACTCGATTCGGTCATTTATTAACATTTTTTTTCTTTTCCAGACTAAAAAAAAAGTTTGAGATGAATTGACTCTTTACTAGGTGTGACTCAAAGCCGTTCATCTTTTGGTTTAACCTGGTGTGTTTCTGATCAGTCATTCATTTCTAACAAGCAGCTTCTTCCGCATCCATTCTCACTTACTGTCGCAGCTGCAGATAATCCGTTCTGAATATAAGATCGTGTCTGTGACAGAGCAGGAAAAAGTGAGTTTATAGCGCCACCATCTGGACAGACAGGCTCATTTCAGCTCTAACTGTAGCTGAGTGTTGATGTTCAAACTGCAGCATTTCTGTGAGATTCTTTGAATGTTACTTTGTACATTTGGTGAAACTGTTGGTGCTGTGATGCTCCTCTGAAACACTCATAATATTACTGTGATACAGTATGTGTGTTTTCTTTAACCCTTCATTGTTTGTTTGTTTTTTCACACACAGTAGGTGACAGAATTGAACATGGAGGATCAAATGTAGACACTGGAGTGCAGTTCAGTAATTTAAGTTGCAGAAAGAGGACGTAAAAACCTCTTAAAGTGCTGCAAATCCACTCTTCTAAGCTGATGTATTTTTCTGTCATACCAGATGCAGCTTTCTGCATCATCTACTCAACGTCCTTATACTTATGACCACATGTTTGTGCGATAAAGGAGAAATCATTTTAGCTTATACTACTTCTATTTAAGAAAATAATCTTCTCTCTCATTATTATTATTATCTAGACCAATCTAGACTCTCCAGTCACTTGAACACTGGACCCTTAAGTGTAATTAAATAAATGTGATATAAATATGTAAATCATATATTAATATCTAAAGAGAGAAAGGGAGAGACACAGGCTGGTGGATGCGCTCCTTTCACTCATATCAGTAGAGTTAGAGCTGCACACTGAGCTGTGACCTCCTTAAAATGTCTCAATAAAAAAAACTCAAGGAGGAAGTAAACCTCGAGGAGTTTTTTAGCTCAGACTTCCTCTGTTTTGTAATTTTTCTACTTTCAAACGAAAATGTGATTTGCAGCATCAGGTGATATTAACATCTCTGTAACCTGCTGCTCTAATACTGCACCGCCATAAAGAAAATAGTTATTGTTAGAGAGTTATCTCTGGGATGCTGGGATGATAGCTCCCTCAGGACTTAAACTCCAGTCAGAGAGTGGGGCACAGATATACTTTAATGGAAGTTAACAGCAGCTCAACAGTACAGCAGTAGGCATACTTAACAAGTGTGGGCAGACGTGTGGTTCTGAATAACAAGAAACAAGGAGAAACAATTATCACATGTAAATATAACAATCATCACTTCCCAACATCACACCAATATAATGAACTGTAACACAAATAATGCTCAGAGGTGAAGGCTCTGACACAAGAAAGTCCCACAATCCCATTTGAACAGGCAGGAAACAAGAATACCTGCATATGTGAGGCAACAGAAAAGCTAATGCCCCAAAATTAGGAAAAGTCGACAATTACATGGTCTTCAGTGCCCTCTAGTGGCTAAATAACCCAACTGCGGTGCACAGATCCAACCCGCAACAAAGGCTACCGTGGTAAGTCACATGTTTCTACCAATCTCGATAAATCTCCTGGCCTAAACCCCTGTAATTATCGTCAACAAGTACAACCCGTGCTATAAGTGGAAATGGACCCGTAGAACTGGAGGGATTTTGTCTCACATTTGTGCAGGAACGCACACGGCTGGAGATCGCTATTCCCCTGCACTAAAACATGCCGCTCCCCGGCAGGACCGTCGTAAAAGCATGTGACGTCATCACCGCAGCAAACAGCAAGAACAAAGTGGAACTTATCGGCAGACATTACCAGTGCAGTTATAACTATGCGACTGAAATATAAGGAGACTTGACTCTTGAGCGATCTCGCGCAACAGGCGCTGGAAGGGCAGCTTGCGGATCAGCAGCTCGGTGGATTTCTGGTAACGGATTTCTGGTAACGGCGGATCTCGCGCAGAGCCACGGTACCGGGCCTATACCGCCTATTCTTTCTCACGTTCCTTTCCCTGTGATAAGAGCAGAAAATGTAGCGAACAGAGGAGACTCGCTGCTCTTAAAGTGTGTGACTGGCTGTGACGCGGTGCCGCTCCGGCTCGTGATTGGTGACGGGCTCCACGTGGAGCATCGCCCCGCCTCGGTGTGTGCTGCTCATTGGAGAAAAGTGCATTGAATTTGCGCGCTGCCGCAAGTCTCTCTGCGATTGGTGCGTGACGAATCCGCCCGCGCTCTGCGGGAATATAAGCGAGGCTTTGAGCTGATCGGGCCACATTTTCTCTTAGTCTCGATACTACGAAGAAATCTGGAGGACACGCGCCTGAGAGGGGCTCATAAGACAAACAGGAAAATACTTAGAGCGTTTTGTTGCATTTTTAGCTAAACAGAGACAAAATGCCAAAAGTAAAGAGGAGTCGAAAGCCTTCCCCAGACGGCTGGGAGCTCATTGAGCCCACTTTGGACGAGCTGGATCAGAAAATGAGAGAAGCTGAAACTGAACCCCACGAGGGGAAGCGAAAGGTGGAGTCCCTCTGGCCCATTTTCAGGCTGCATCATCAGCGGAGTCGATACATCTATGACCTATTCTACAAAAGAAAAGCCATCAGTAGAGAGCTATACGAGTACTGTATAAAGGACGGCTACGCAGACAAGAACCTCATTGCCAAGTGGAAGAAGCAGGGCTACGAGAACCTGTGCTGCCTGCGTTGCATCCAAACACGAGACACCAACTTTGGAACCAACTGCATCTGCAGAGTCCCCAAGAGCAAGCTGGAAGTTGGAAGGATCATTGAATGCACCCACTGTGGATGTAGAGGATGTTCTGGCTAACCCTTACTTGTATTTTTGGACTTGTGATTTTTCTGTCAGAATCTTGACGCAACATTATCTTTTTGGAGTCGCCTTCATGTAAAATAATCTGTCATTTTCCCATCCATCACCCTGAGTTGCCATTATAGCGGAGAAAAACAGTGGAAAAATGATAATACACCAAGAGGGGCTGTGTTGAGTATATTAATTTTCTGTTGCGTTGTTTTTTTGTTTTTTGTTTTTTTTTGTTTTTGTCTTTTTTAAATATCTCGCTAAAGCTTGCAACTCCAAAAGAACCAACTTAAGACCGGTTGTTTCTGGGTCAGGTCATTCCAGCAAGACACAGCCACTGTGGAGGTCATTTCTAATGTGCTTTTAAAGCGCAGTGTTTAAATTTGCCATCACTTTAAAGAGTCATCACTGTTATAGTGCAGTTTTAAATAAAGTGTTTCAGATTGTCTTGCTTTGCTTTTTTGTTGTTGTTGTTGTTGTTGTTGGAGGGGGAGTTGTGTGGGTTTTTTTTTTTTTTTTTTTTTCCAAATAAAATAGACTCTAGACTTTAACAGTCTTCATCTGAAGTTCTGATTCTGTTTGTCGTGTTAAAATAAATCACTGAAAGGCTGAAGGTTTCAAAGATTCGTGTGTAATCATAAAAATAAGATTTGGATAATTGAGGATGGGTACTTTGCATTTGCATGTTCTAAGTATAAAATATTGATGTAATATTTTGTGTTTAATCGCTACAATGGCGCAAACTTCCACAAGCATGTAGCACTAAAAGAAAAAAGCAAAA